TAATCAGAATCAAAAATCATCAATTACAACGTTTTTCGTCTTATCGTCATTTTGATTTAACTGACATGAGGGCTGTGTTCTAGAATTATTACAATTGGATTTAAAATCCTATATTTGCACATTTGACGTCTGCCACCATTTAGTGGCATCAAGAGAAATGACAGATGTTGGGATGCATGAAAACAGAGGCAATGACACCAGTCTTTACCATGCCTTGTAACAGTGTTTGGCAGGCCGGATGAGAAAGCGCAGCAGGCCGTATCTCGCCCACGGGCCGTAGTTTGGACAGATCTGTATTAGTATAACAGCTGTACTGAATATTTGACCTTGGACTGAATGTTAAAGAAATAAATATCTGACTTGGAAAACACATGATATGTGAGTCACTTCATCTGATAACAGGAACAGGGATTTTTTTTTCTAAAAAATGGGACTGCACCTAACACAGGAACAAAATCACTGTGTTCATTAATTATTAATTAACAAATGTTCTTAATTTTTGTACTTTTTTTCTGTTGTCTGTGTAGACACATGCGCAGTTAATTTTCCTTTCCATTTCTGTCCTCCCTTAAAGTCACCTGAAGGAGGAAGAAGGTGAGGAGGTGATGGTGAAGTTGGAGAGGAGGAGCTTGCCGCTCGACTTACGGTAGCAGTCTGACCGCCGCCTTCTCTCTGCTGCTTGCTCCCCCTCCCCTCCCTACTCCTCCTCCACCTCCTCCTCTTCCTGAAGCCGCTATTGCAGCAGCAGCTACAGCAGTAGCAGCAGCATCAACCCGGTGCCTCCCGCATCCATGAAGAAACCCCTCACGCACGGCTCCCTCCCCGCCACCATGGGCCGCATTCACCGTTCCACTGCGTTGTCGTGTTGATGATTGAGATTGAGATGATTTTTCAGCTTCCAAATATGAATCATGCATTTGATATTTCTGGCCACTTTGCTCGTCAGCATCCCTGCGCCCTGGCTCCATCCAGCACTAGCGTCATCCGGTACGTATTGGCCACAGCCTCTGTTGCCTTGTTATTTTTGTTGGTTCACTTTTCTTCGGGATTGTGTATATATATATATAAAAGCCCACACCTTTCACTTTGCGCATTCATCTCACACAAAGCGTTCATTATCTTTAAAAATCATTATGGATCATAATTAAAACGCTGCGTCTTTAACATGATGCTGCATTGTGACAAACCGGAACATCTCAGCATTTTTTTCTGTTTATCTTACAGAACACACCGTTCTCTTTCTTTTTTAGCCTGTGTATGAATAAAATCTTATTTAAACACATTGACACAGCAAGACTAGTGCTGTTTATTTGCATGATTGCATTATGTTGCTGTTCTCTGAGGCTACTGGGATTTGCATTGCATAATAATAAATACAACTGTGTAATGCCGTACTAAAAAATGTAACACAAAAAGTAGATTTTAATTCGTTTTCCACATTGTCAGACATTTTCACAGTCATGCATGGTCGACAGTACACTGTGCCCTTGTTAAACAGTCCGTCTGAATATTTGCAGTGAAGCTGCGGCCACTCGCCTCTCCATTATCAATGCCTTTCATGAATAAAGGATGACAGCTGGCTCTTTGTACACTGCATGAGTGAGTGAGCATGTGTGAGTGAGTGGGTTTTTAATGTGGGTACACTGGGATTTTTTTTTTTTTTTTTTGCAGTTTCTCCAGGAGTAGAGAACGAGGTTGAGGGAGATGCAGTGACAGCACTGCTGAAGCAACAGGCGACTGCAGCACCTGCTACAGACAACACAACACAGGCTGCAGTAGAGCAGGAGATCACCTACCCCTCACGCTTAATCTACTACCTGAACGAGGACACGGAGAGCACCTACCATGACCTGGACACGAGAGTCAAGAACCAGGATTCAGAGGGACAGGTGAGACACTTTTGAATCACCCAGAAATTTACTGTGTAGTTAAAAAATCCGACATCATACTGTACATATCTTTTTATTGCTTTTGTTCAATTCTTTCAATAGTCATTGACCTAGAAGGGAAGTTTGCTGACATTCACTATAATAAAGATTAGAATCATGCCGGTGCTCCAGGATGCCAGTTTTCTACCCACATACTGTAGCGACATGGCTCTGGCCTAGTAATGGGTCACATCACTTCCTTTACTTTGTCCACATTAGATGCATTCTGTTCCCCTTGTCAATTGGCACACGGTTACGAAGAATGACACTGTATCTGTTTGGAATGTGTGTTGGATATTTGCCACCTCCCATGGCTGGAAACCAAGACGGCCGCCTTCAAGGATGAAGCTGTACTGCATTTGACCACAGCTGGCTACAAACCAAGTCTCAGTGACAACTAGAAAGTGAAGCAAAAACAAAAACAAAAAACCCCAAAACATTACAAAATATGGAACAACCATAGTGTCACCGGTAAAGGATTCATGGAGCGGTCATCCTTGTTGTGAACTGACCAGGTGTTCATGCTTAACATCCAGGACTGGACTGGAAAAAAGAATTCAATGTGGGCTAAATTTTATTCATGCTGAACCTAAAGCTGTTTCAGTACTTGTTATATGTTGGACAAAGTTTGACTATCCCGGCATAGGGCCAGATGAGAGACAGTTGGAAACCAGTATGTTTACTGTACCATACTGATACCAAGTGTGGCCCACAACTATCTTGACCTTTGAGCCAGAAGAAGACCACTCATGTTTTGACTCAGATGTGGCCCACTTTATGGTTATCAGTTATGTGTCACACAATGTATGTGTTAGTTTATTGACCAATGGCTCTCTCTCTCTCTCTCTGACTCTCACTCTCTTTCTCTCTCTCTGGGCTTTTTTTTCACAGGCCATCCATCTCGCTCAGGCCAGTTTCCAGTTAGAGGCATTTGGCTCCAGATATGTTCTGGATCTAAAGTTGAACAAGTAGGTCCAATTTTCTTTTACTACCTCCGTACCTGCTGTGTGGCTGTGAAGCCAGTCATTAAGATCGACCCTGGTGAAGCTTTGGAATAAGATATAGATGCACGGTCATGGTGAAACTCCCATAAGATTCTAATTTTTTTCAGACATTGGAAATGTTTGAGATATGAATAATTGCAACACAACTTAATTTAATTAGATAAACTTAAAATGATATAATTATATATGATACATTTATGGCCATGGTGATAAATGATTCCAGAATATCACTTTTATTGAGACCTTATTTGTTGAGATTGCAGTTCGGCTGAATATTCTTATAATATCAGGTTTCTTATCTTAACATGTCTGTTGCCATGGAGGGTATGCTGTTTTTAACTACTGGTACAAATGTATCCCAGACATGGTGTACAGTCTAATTAGCTGAGAAATACCTAAAAGGTAGGAAACAGTAGTTAGCGTCAGCGTGGCCAAGACCACTAATGTTTTAATTCCCCTATAAAATAGGATGTTAAGTGGAAAGTTTCATGTTAGAGCTTCAGTGTCAAGCTCCGAGAGGACCATGACGGAGGAAGCACGGCTCCTTCACGTGTTTGGTAAAACTGCCCTGTGAATGATTCAAAATGTCCTTGAAACATGCAGTATTTCTGAAGCACAAACGAAACCCTTCTGTAAAATCACACTTGATGCTGCCTGGGTTTAGGATCCAGTGTTACATAATATTTCTGTGATATAGGATGTGGTGACTATTTTTGCCCACAGCCTAGGACGTTACTGTGAGACTGTGATAAATCACATCAGCTCTGAGTCATGTCTATGGCTGCCTACGCTCTGTAAATGATATGTGCTATTATGTGTCATAGCAGTCGGTAAAGCAGTGTCAGTTTAAATTTTTGAATCTTTCTGTTGCTGCCAGCTTACAGTCAAAGGCAGAGTGTGTTGTGTGGATAAATGACTTTGACTCCGTGTCTTTTATTAGTTGGATTCGTTGGTTTCCATTAAAAGCATGTAGTGAGGCTGACATCCTGAGGCCTGTGATCACTGTCCTATTAGGAGACATAAGCCTCAGGACACTCAATGATATTGATTTTCTTCTCACAAAGTAACTGGTTTACATATGGGAAAAGCCTAATGTGCACGTGTACAAGGACCAAGAGATGCTGATTGAATTCTAGGTCCTTATATTTGGATTTAATTCTGTCATTTAGATTTGTGTAGTTGGGACTTTCAGGTAGAAGTAATAATTCTGTCCATTAATGATTTGCACCAAAGACTCAGTCGAGGACTTTATCAGATGAAAACGATGTAATGAAGGTGAAAAGTATCGATGCATATTCTATATTGTAATGAAGGTGAAAAGTATCGATGCATTTTCTCAAATAATAATTATTTTAAAAATGAACAGAATACAAAATCTGGTCTGGGAAGCAGTCCAATCACTGCTGGTTTCCTCATGTCAACTGGAGGGAGAAATGAGGGTGAAAGCCAATCAGAATGATCTTTGTTGCTTAGAAGGCGGGGCATATAAATGGCGAATTGTACCCAATGTGTGTCCTGGGAGTAGAAGGAACAGAAGATGGTGTGAAGCCAGGAGCATCAAAGTCTGGTCCAGTTGTGACGTAGCACGAATGAAGGACAGATAAATATATTTAACCTTTAACATAGAAGTCACATGGATCTTAACACTCTCTCTGTATGTATGTCTACTTTTGAATAGTTGTTGTCACAGCTTCTGGAATGTTGATGATTATTGTATAAATTAATAGAAAATTATAGAATTGCCATTTATTACATATTGCAAAATCTAATGTAACCTCGACTAAAATAATTAAGATATTTTATCGACTAAAACTACATTTAATGCAGTTATGTTTACCAAATAAAAAAAAGTCTGGATTAAGCTACAATTTATTTCAAAGACTTCAACAGAAGTGGCTGTCAGAATCCACACTGGTCTGGTTGTCCACTCTTCCCGGTCCGTGCCGTCTTCTGTCCAGAGAGGGTCCAGAGTTACCACCGAGGCAGGTGTATGTCAGTCTGACTGTTGATGATGCAAGAGATGTTTGTCTAACCGTTGTTCAGTCTGATAGTTGCTGACACACGGTAATTAGGTGAGATGATGTTGTAAGTGCAGCTCTACCATTTCAGTAGTACACTGAGTACTATTCCGGTGCCAGCGGCAGTGCTGCAGACATCAGCATTTATCTCATAGTACAAATGCACACAAAAGTCAGATACTGTAGCAGAGACTGCTGCAGCTCTGTCCACACCATTAGTACAGTAAATCTGGGTCTGTGTGTGTGTGTGTGTGTGTGTGTGTGTGTGTCCGGTATGACCTTGATTACCTGCTGTCTGAGTATGCAGCTTGTTAAATAAATATTAGCTTGTCCTTCCCACTGTGAGTGAACAGGGGTTTGAGTTCTGCTTAGTTCTGAAGCTGCGACAAGTCTAAATATAGACGGGGACAGATGAGGACAGATTTGTCTTCTCCACTCTTCCATACCTGGATTCATAAACTAAGGAAATGAGTTTTCATTTCTCAAATGAGAGTATTGACCGGACACGACTGGTACATTTCAACCAATTACTGCCCTGCCATGCAACTTTTTCCCCCTCTAGTCCACATATTGTTGCTGACCTGTTCTGGGAGTGGGTTTTTGCTGCATTTGTCATTTCAGAATTTCTTTTTTAAATGTATGAACCAAACGTACTGCCTATTTTTAGAGTTCCTCTCCTCACTGGTATTCACCTCACTTCATTGTTACTCTTTCTGCTGAGATTCACAAATACATTTTTACACATTTTTACCCAGAGATATGCACAAATCTGACCTGATCAGTTCCCTCCTTTCCTTTCACACTTTTTTTTCTGTCCTGCAGAATTGCACAGTATGGTTGTATATACTTGTCTTCTCCAACTGAATCTCCAAACCGGTTTCTGTTGCTCCAAACTTTTCTGTCAATCTCCTCAGCTCATTTCTGTCCATCCTGTTTTTCAGTTTCTTTCTCCATCCTTCTTTCGTGCCTCCACCCACACACTTATTTTTCCCCCAAATAATGAATGAACTAAACTAAACTAAAATGGAGGAGCAAAAAGTAGTCTAGAAGTTTCCCATATCACCTTAGTTTGCTGGAAAATGGAGTGATAGGTTCTGAGATCTTCCTGTGTACAATGTGATGTACTGTAGGGTTTGTGAAATATGATGCTATTTAAGGGAAAATAACACGTACAAAAATATGACAAGTTATCGCGTGTGAGTGTTCAACCAGACTGTGATTGACAGTTCTGTCTAATAGGATCCAGATTTGAGGAGTGAAAACGCAAAGTCGGGGTTCTGGTCTAACTGCTAATCTTGTGGCTTTAGAATGACGTGCTTCACTCATCAGTGATTTGTACTTACACTCTCACACCAACACATTAACACATGAGTACACACATCTGGCGTGGCCCTCTCCTCACTCCCTGGCCTTTCAGTCAAACTAAAAATAGGCCCATCACTCGGGAATCACTCGTGCTGCCTACGCCTCATCTCCCCTCTCATCTCATATAATGTGAACTTCCTGCTGTCATGCTGCTGAGCATGGCTTAAAACTATCACACTAATGTGATTTTTTTAAACAATTTCCTTCTTGTTCATGCTGAACCAGGTCAAATGTCCACACAGAGGTCTATAGTTTTGTGTTTCAGGACAAAAAAAATTGCCATTGTGGCAAAAATGGCAGGTTCTGAAAAATCAGCCATCAGCTGACAGAGTGGGCATGTAACGGTGACAAACGCTGACTCAGAGAGCCAAACTGTCAGGAGGACACTTGTGTTCAAGGTGAAGCTGTTGCCTCATCATGGTCATTTTATCTTAGCAGGCATATTTGAGACACAGTGCCCTCTTTCTGTTCCTGTTATGTGCCGTCTCTTTCTGATTCATTGATCTCATGTTGGGTAATTTGAGGAAGGATCTGTGTTGTGCAGGGAGCGGTTCTCTCCTCGTTTCTTCTCTGGTTATTTGGTCTCTGCTTGAGTTCCTGGTCTTGTTTTTGAAGGATTTTTCCATCACCGTCCTCGTGCAGCCTTACGAGCGATGCGTCATGTTGTGTGTTTTGGGCAGGGAAAACATTTAACATCTGTGGTGCCCTCTTGAGATGCCATTGGCCATGCCATGTTTGTGCAGACTAATACAGGCACTGCGGTCATGACTGCTCTCCTTTAAACCCCGACCAAAAGCGGGGGTTAGCCGCCTGTTTGAAACCACAGTGTGTGAGTCAGAGAGAGCAAGGTTAGACAGACTCATGTTTGTTTTTTATTGTCACTGCTTCATTTCCGTCTGACCCAACCAACCCTGCTCTTGGGTTTTTTTGTCTATTTTGTTTTTCAGCGGCTTGCTGTCTTCAGATTATGTTGAGATCCATTATGAAGGAGGCAAACCAGTTCTATCAAAGGTAACGTCCTCCATCAGTCTGGATGAAACGTTTGGATGAAACCTACTGTGAAATGTTGAGAGTGAGCATGTAGATAAAACAATAGATACATTTGTTTTAAATGTAGAGTATGTAAATATACAGCAGATAGACAAAGAGACTGCTGATGGAGATAGTATATGTATGTTTATATAGATGTGTGTATGTATGTATGTAGGTATATATATGTATATGAATATATACTGTATATATAGCATGGATCCCAAGAGGACTATGTACATATGATGTATACGGAGTGAAGATACATAATTTATACAGTACAAAAGTATATAGACATATAGGGAGCAGTAGGAGAGATGAAGAGCCGCTCAGATGGCTTTAGAGCATACAGATACTTGGGAACCTATAGATAAGTTGAAAAGACACTTATAGACATGGGCACAGGTAAGTAGAGGGGGCACAGACTGACAGATAGAGCCTGGTTCCTGCTGCTGCTGCTGCTGCTGCTGATTCAGGCAGAGGGCTGGGCTGGGTGCACTCGAGCTGAATCAGCAGGGTTTTGCTCTCCTGCAGCCTCCTGCTGGAGCTCTGCTCACGTGACCAGCGCAGAGACGGCGCTCTGCAGTAACAGTGCAGTGTGGGATGAGGAGACAGATAGAGGGGAGAGGGGGAGGGAACGAGAGAGAGAGACAAGGAGAGGTGATGGGAGGGAGGGTGGGGTGGAGTGATGCTGTCCTCTGCTCACCCTGGTTCCTGGTTATTCTGACTGCTGACTCTCAGGACCAGATTTACTGTATTTATGTTTTGACACATACATCTTTCCCAGCATACACTGCGCCCCCTGCAGGAGTGACCTGCCTGAACATCTAGCAGACCAGCTGTTTGTTACATTTCTGTGTCTTGTAGCTAACAGAAATGATGCAGTCACACTGGACTCATACTGTGCACATGTTTCTCTGCTGCAATGATCTTTTTTTTTTCCTACTTTTTTTGACTACTTTTCTGTGAGGTTTCGTTACCGCTGTGTCCTCTCCCATCAGGGCGGTGAGCACTGTTACTACCATGGCCAGGTGAGAGGAAATGATAACTCCCATGTGGCCTTATCTACCTGCAACGGGCTGCAGTAAGTTAACACCACGGTGCTGTGTGTGCACACACTCCTGTCTGCCTCCTGCCTCATACCCACTCACTACTGAATAATGGCTTCCTCTCCCTTTTTGCTCTCCTCTCCGGACGCCAGTGGGATGTTTGACGATGGAGACCACGTCTACCTAATCGAGCCCCAGGAACTGTCTCATTCAATCGTAGGTCGTTTTTTTTTTTTTGCCTGGAACCAAAAAATATTCATCACACAGATGCTTTAGCGCTGATGCTTGTGTAACCTCACCTCTGCTGCATAAACACAACACCCTGTGCTGTTCAGGTGGAGGATATCCTTGTGCCCTCAAGGACATTCCTGTTTTTAAAGGAAGCAGCGTGTGTGATAATGGAGCACGTCTGGCTCACAGATAAAAACACTGACATGTTTTTCTGTTGAGATGTAGTTACCCATGATGCCATGTGTAAATTACACAAGCATTTATAGTACTAAGGAGGGTGACATTTGAGGTAGTGGATGCCATTATGTAGTAATGTCCATATGGACAATGACGACGACCTGAAATAAATTCTCCTTGATGTTTTCTTTGTGTGCATTACTACGAAGAAGATGCCGGAGAGAACCAATTAAATTCAAATAATCGATGGTTAACTCGCTTATAACTGCAAATAGGTCACACCTTTTATTTAACAAAATGTACTGAGGAGAGACAGTGGATAAATAGGAGAAAGGATGTTGGAGCTGCAAGCCAAAAGGAAAGGAGTGTAAGACCTCAGAGAAGATTTGTGGATGTTGTTAAAAAGGGCATTGAAATAGTTGTTGTAAAAGCAGAGGAGGCAGGAGACAGGCTGAGATGGAGGCAGATGATCAGCTGTGTTGACCCCTGAAGGGAACAGCTGGAGACGGGAGTGGAAATATATGAGGAATGGAACAAAAAAGTTAGCCATATGTAAATGTCTGATTATGTTATTGCAAAAATATAAGGACAAATATAATCCAGAGGTCATTAGGCAATGCTAATCGCTAATTTGGAGGAGATGAGTTTCCCATTTATACTTTGTCTTTTCATTCGGTCTGTTCATGTGCTGTGTTTTTTTTTGGCTAGAATTTATGTAAAAAAATACAGCTGTATAATGCATAATACAAGAGATATTTTTGGGGGGTGTGGGGTTGTGATAGTCATCTCATGGCATCACAGTGACGCACTGCAGTGGTAACTTGGTTCACCTTGAATGTAAATGACAAAGTAGTAAATTCTGAGCTTTGAAGCTGGATTTACAATTTCGACCTTCATTTTTTTTATCCGTTACTGCTTTTTGTTTTTCTCCTGTTTCTAATCTAAGTGGAAGATCTAGAAGTAAATCACAGATTGGCACAAGTGTTAATCAAAAGTGGTGGCGTTAAAAGTCGTTTGCATTAACTTGTCATTATCACGTTAACCGTGACAGCACCAGACAAATCACTCAGTAGCTCTTCACTGTCACGCTGCCAAAGAACAGCATCGTTTGTAAGTAAACAGGCCTGTTGTTGTTTGGTCACGGTTCATAAACATCTTAAATGCAGATACAGAAAAACAAATGACACCGTTGTCAAACTCATCAGAACACAGAGTTCACTGACAATGGACACACCACCCACTTTCTGTTCCACACCCGGGTTAAATCTTTTATTGGAACAGTGTTCAGATTAAAAGCGTCTGTCTGACATCAGCCCTCTTGTCTCTCGTCTAACACTTTATGTCCCTCACCCCCCAGGATACAGCTGCAAGGCCTCACAGACTAAGAAGAGCAGCTTCCCTTCACTGGAACAATGATCCTGAGGAACAGGGTGAGGATTTCCACCGCTGTCGTTCTTCATTCTTCATTATTATCCATTTTACAACCTCCCTAGTCACTCGCTCACCTCTGCCTTTCCGATCCACATCTACACTTCATCCTGTCCACGTCTCCTACTCAGTTTTACTGCATGTTTATTAATAAATCTTTATTAATAAGACCTGGATTACACCGTACCATCAACATACAGTATATAAGATAACAGTAGTTCTAACAGAGTAGGTCTGTCCAGTCTTAACTTATTAAAACTTACCAACCTTAAAAAAAAATCCTGAAACTACAGCAACACAAAACTTTCTGCTGATCCTGACCTGCTTGACCTGACCAATTCATTTCTTCCAGATAAACACACAGAAAGTTGACATCCATATGTTGTTGATCTCATCAAAACATTGGTGCATGTGTATTTATGTTACAATGTTTTGTCACGTGTGTGTGTGTGTTTGCAGTGGAGGAAGGGCAGCTCTTCCCAGAGCTGGATGACTTGGCCTGGCTGCGGCGCAGGAAAAAGAGAGCTGTAAGTTCCTCATCTCTCCTCTCCTCCCTGTCTGATGTCATTTAACACATAAACTGCTCTCCCACCTTGGGGTGAGTCATGAACTGCTCCCTGCTGGATGTTTCTGCTTTGCGCTTGCAGATGCCTCGCAACGTATTTGAGGAGACAAAATATTTGGAAATCATGATTGTCAGTGACCACAACCTGGTATGTACCGCCTGTGTTCCATCAGCAGCCGCGGCAACAAAACGTTACTACACGTTACTGGCTGTCACTCACTCTTACTGACTGTTTTTCAACCTTATACCTTTTTGTTTTTGACACGTTCGCCTGCAGTACAAACGCCACAAGACGAAGCTGCACACAAAGAACTTCGTCAAGTCAGTGGTGAATTTTGTTGACGCTGTGAGTAAAAATGTTTTACTCACCTCTGTGACATGTGGTGATGATCCAAAATACCAGTTCATTCTTGAATTTGCACAGTATTCTAAGCAAAACAAATGGTAAAAGCATCAGAAGAAGAATGCCTTTATATTTAACCCTTCAACTCAGTCCTTTGGAGCAGTGATCAGTTGCTTGCTCAACAGCAATCCTCATATAACAAGCCTGATCCTCCTACCACTGGAGCACGGGCTGCAAACGTGGATTGCTGGTTCAAAACCAAGCCCTGGGAGAACTTTGATGTGTTGAGCAAGCAGTGCAGCGCTCTCTTCCTGTGTGTCCAGAGTCAAGTGCTGCAGGGGAACCTTGTAGAGAATAAAAGAGAGTTGTTGTTCTTGCATAGACAATGCTTATTAAATATGAGATGAATGATCAATTGGATTCAATGCAACTTGAACAGGTCCAGGTGCAAAAGCCCAGTGTAGCCTTCATGTATCAACAGCTGTGTTTGATGCATTTTTAGAAATGTCTCACTAAGTACAGTTAATGTTATGTAATTCTAATTTTTGCGCATAAAGGTTGAAGATAAGTTCGCTTTGTTAGCATCAAGCTAGAGCAGCAAAAACTAGTACTTCTGGGTTTCTGTCTCTGGAGGTCTGTGGACATAAATATGTGTTACTATTTTGGAAACCGAATTGAGTTCATAACTGTGGGATTCTTCTTTATAAATGGGCAGACATAAATAAGAACTGTAGAAGTGCAGAGACACAACACGGGACTTAATACATGTGTTGGTTTAACATAGGTTTGTGTCCCTTCACTGTTAACCTCAGTAGAAACAACAGTAGAAACAGTTCTATTTGTCAGTGCTCTGTTATCAGTTGACCACAGGTCAGGTCTTTAAGCCTGTCTTCTGGTTTGTCCTTCTGTCCTCATCATGTTTCTGTCCATGTCCTCCTCGTGGTCTTTCTTTATCCTCCCATTCACTGTGCATTTCAATGGCAGATCTTCAAAGAGCAACTTCACACACGTGTAGTGCTCGTTGCCGTGGAGATCTGGACAGACAAGGATCAGATCCCCATCACGGTGAGGCCTCTGGAAATGCTGCGGGACTTCTCCAAGTACAGGCAGCAGAGCATCAAGCACCACGCAGACGCTGTTCACCTCTTCTCGTAAGTTTTAGAGAGTTGGTTAAAAATTGTAAAATAGTATTTGTTTTGTTCTGTATCATTCCATAAAAACAACCCTATCTGTTCCTCTAAGATAACGTCTTCCTTTTTTGGACTGATTCAGTCCTCTCTTTATATGTCTCTCCTTTTCTGTTCTCACCCGTTTGTCTTTGTCCTCTGTCACTATGGTAGAAATTCGACCTTCCATTATCACAGTAGCAGCGCAGCGTACTTCGGGGGCGCTTGCTCCGTGAGCCGTGGAGTCGGGGTCAATGAGGTCAGAGTCCCCGTTTAACACCTGCTGTTTACCTGTACGTGAATGACAGCGTGGGACTGCAGGTGAATAATGGCTGGGGCTCTGTTGTGTCCACAGTACGGCAACACGGGGGCCATGGCTGCGTCTCTGTGCCAGAGTCTGGCCCAGAATCTGGGGATCCAGTGGGACCCAGCGTTGAAGAGAAGTATTCATGAAATAATCTTTGTTTTGCCATATCTGAATAAGGCCAGGGAGGGAGGTCACAGACAACCGCTGGAATTACTGAGGAAAAAATCCACTCAGTCATGACTATTCAGACCTATTGTTCTCCTATTTCTCCTGAACTCACTGTGGTGAAGTGAATGTTCTCAGTGGAGAACTGTTCCGAGAGAGAATCCAGAGAGCAGACTGTGGTTGGACACTTGGTTAAAAACATACTTTTCTAAGAGTCATGTTTTCCTCTTTTCTCAGTTAGTAAAACGTAACTGAGTTACTTTTACTGAGTTTGTTCCTTTACATACGTTAAGATGAAGAGATCTATATATAATCATAACATATAAAAGCCCAGATATTATTCCAGACATGTCCCAGGAATCATTTACATTCCTAATAATCAGAACACAGGGTTTTCTTGTGAATCCCTTTTTTTAATTATTATTATTAAGAATAAGATTAAGATAGATTAAGTTTTTATTTGTATTTATTTTTAAGCCACCTTTTTGCTCTTTTGGCATTTTTACTATTGGTTTACTCCTATTATTTACAGAAGAATGTGGCTGTTCTGACCCTTGGATTGGCTGCATCATGGAGGATACTGGGTAATATTTGAAGTATTTGTTATACTCTCTGTTAGAATTGGCTAAATTGAGGTCTTAAACACAGACCCAGCGCACATTTCCTCTACAGCCTAAATCATGAGAATTTCATTAATTATCACCAAATATCTCGTCTCGTCTCGTCAGGGCCCAACCACCGAAACGATTCTCCAAATGCAGCATCACAGATTACAAGGAGTTCCTCCTGAAAGGTGGAGGCTCATGTCTGTTTAACAGGCCAACCAAGGTTTGAGGCTGAAGACTCTGCTTTCTTTCTTTTACATGTCATTATTTGCCTTTTGTCCCATGTCCTTAAAAACCCTCTCTTTTTCTCGCCTCTCTCTTGGCAGCTTTTTGAGGCGACAGAGTGTGGGAATGGATTTGTAGAGGTGGGAGAGGAGTGTGACTGCGGAGGCAGAGCTGTGAGTTCCTTTTTTTCCCTCACCTCTTCTGTTCACGCCTGTTTGCCATCTCCCTGTTTGTTCAGATGCATGAAGAATAGTCTATGTTTGTTTTTTTAGGAGTGCTACAAAGAATGCTGCAAGAAGTGCTCCCTGGCCAATGGTGCGCACTGCAGTGACGGCCCCTGCTGCAATAATACATGCCTGGTATGTTGTGTGGGTTTTCAGTGTGTTTTGGTACCGATACACACTGTGATGCTGCAGAGTGGATCAGCCATGACTTTAGAATGAACATAAGTCACTGCAGCCAGACTTATTTGAATTCATAACTTCTTATAATGCAATGCATAAAAGACAAAACTGTTATTAGTAGATGATTTGAACTAGATTATTTGACCATCGTTTTGAGTTTGCATGTTCTCTCCCTCTGCGCCTGTGTTTCTCTGGTTTCCTCCCTCACTTACGTGTCCCTGTGATGGACTGGGTCTACACTAGCCCTTGACCACTGACTGCCGGAATAGGTTCTAGTCCCCACTAAGACCTGGAAATGGATGACGCAATAGAAGATGAATGGTTTCATTGTTTTGTGACCTTCCTTCTTTTTTCCTGCCAGTTTTACCCTCGAGGTTACGGTTGTCGCTACGCTGTAAACGACTGTGACATCTCAGAGACCTGCTCTGGAGACTCTGGACAGGTGCTGCTGTTTTTTTTTTTCTTTTATCCAAAATCATTTTTACCTCTTTGTACATGGGTCAGAAGTCATACTATGTGTCTGATATATTTTTCAGTGCCCTCCAAATCTTCATAAACAAGATGGCTACCTTTGCCAAATGAACCAGGTACACATGCTCCTGGAGCACTGCAGTGGGGTTTTGTGAGCAAGAAAACCAAAAATATGTTTAATCTGTATTTTTTGATGATCCTGTGAAGGGTCGCTGCTACAGTGGAGAGTGTAAGACCAGAGAGAATCAGTGTAAATACATCTGGGGCTCAAGTAAGATTAGAACCGTACCATAGTTCTTACTGGTGTCACGATTAAAGTATCAAAACATCAGGCTTGAGAAGACTGTAACTGTGTTCCTCAACGCTTCACTTTTCTCCAGAGGCTGGAGGCTCGGAGAAATTTTGCTACGAGAAGCTGAACACAGAGGGCACAGAGAAGGGTAACTGTGGGAGAGATGGAGAGAAGTGGGTCGCATGCAGCAAACAGTGAGTTAAAAAAAAAGGTTTAACATCCAGAAATGACTAATATAACCTATAATAATACCATGTATTTCAACTTTCTGCTTGTTCTTTTACAGTGATGTGTTCTGTGGTTACCTTCTGTGTACCAACACCGGCCGCAGCCCACGTATTGGCCTGATAAAAGGAGAAATAACCACTACCTTTTTCAACCATAAAAATGGACAGATAGACTGCAGGTAACATTTTTGTCAAATTTTCAGCATTTACTAAAAATAAAATGGAATGAATCCCTTTTTTCAGCTCATTGTACAAGGAACTATCTATTATATAATATTTCTAGAACCTTCCCATCATCAATTCTGTCAGTGTTTTTTTCCCCTGTTTTTTCCCTCTTTTTTCCCCTCTCCTCACAGTGGTGGACACGTCCTTTTGGATGATGACACTGATTTAGGCTACGTGGAGGATGGGACTCCCTGTGGGCCGTCAATGATGTGCCTTGACCGCAAGTGTCTGCCAATCCAGTCACTTAATATGAGCACCTGCCCCAGTGGACCTAACGGTCAGGTGTGCTCTGCCCACGGGGTGAGTTCAGACCCAGGAGAGTGTCTAAATTTTTACCACGGTGAGGCAGACTTGTTACAACTGTCCAAGGGCCAACTGCTAATCCTGTGTTAGACAAAACCTGATGCACTGTGACTTATATATATCAAATACAAACAGCTGTTTAGCTTAGAAATAACTCAAGGCAACAAAAAATACAATATATAAAAAATATAAGGCAACATTTTTAGATGTGTCATAATTAGTGGAGATTAAAAAATCTGCTGAAAGATTATGGAAATAGCTTAATATTAGCTAATAACATGTAAGTTCATCAAGAAAAGGCTAGTCCATTATAAGCTAACCCAGCTAAAGTAGCAGCTAAATCAAGTGTAAAAGTTGTCCCTTATACTTTAATATGATTTTTTACCAAACTTTAAGCTTTATCTTCTACCCAGATGATGGACTATAAATGTTATTATATGAAATGTCCCACATGAGAATCAAATGCCCCTCGTCACCTCACCTGCTTCTTTCTCATTTGTGTAGGTGTGCAACAATGAAGCCGCGTGCACCTGTGACGCTACATGGGCAGGGACAGACTGTAGCATGCCTGACCCACCTAAAGAGCCTGAAGCCACTCGGGATGAAGGGCCCAAGGGTCGGTTTTCCACCATTAACATGCACACATATGCTTTTATCTGATGTATTACCTTCAATATAGGATCAGATACTGTTTACCTTTCTGCCCTTTATGTAGGTTTTTCTGGTACGTTCTTAAAAATGCATTAAAAACTTTAATCTTTTATTTAGCATTTCAAGGTTTATCAAACGATAAGACAAAGAGAACTGTGAGGTTTCACTGTTGAGCAGTATTTCCCCGTATTGTTGCTTCATGAAAGACTAAAGTCAGTTGTCACCATTGTTTGATTTGTCTTTTCCTAACGGAACAGACATTTTCCACAGGAAGCAGATCTGGACTGCGGGCAGGCCAGTCCAATACACACATTATATGTCTGTCAAGCAACGCTTTTAAATTTAACGTACAGCAGCCTGGTAATGTCCTGCTGTATTTTGGAGATAGCTGGAGAGCATATCTATAAAACATAGGTCTATAGCTTTAAGGTATAATCAGTGGGGCCTCGAGATACCAGTTGAATCTGTTCCACAACAGCACTCGTATCTTGATTGCATTTTTCCCATTAATAATAACTAAAAACCAATTAATTTGTTTATTGTTAATATAAAATAATCATAATTAAGAAAACACTATATTATTGCTATAAAAATGGGTAAAATAAGGGCGACAGTGTCAAGTGGGAAAATGGAGGTCGGTTTAGCACTCGTAACTCGATGTTTCCTCTATGTTTTTTCACGAGGAAGATCTTGCAATAGTTGCGTACTCGTAAATTGGAAAACTCGTATTTCGTGGTTAGCTTGTATCTCGAGGCCCCACTGTATATACCCCAAACTAATTAAGGGACCTTCCAAGATTTTGCTCAGTGAAAAAAAAAAAAAAAAGTAAAAATCTTTTTTTTGACCTTCTACTTATCAAATAACTAAAACTGAGTTTTGTAAAAATCAGCCTTACAGTAAAGACGCCTGACTCAGAAGATGCCATGCACACAGGCTACAGCTGTACACCTTATTTGCCTACAGGCAGCAGGGAGGTGAATAAGGGTGGAGGGCAGCGTCGTGGTTTCTCTTCATCCTTGACTCTGACGCAGAAGCCTGCTGTTTGTTTCTTTAACAGGGTGGTAATAATGCTCCTTTTCTCCTGCACAGTGAGCGTGGCCACTAACAGGCTGATAGGGGCAGTAGCAGGGACAATTCTGGCCCTGGGGGTGATTTTTGGAGGCACAGGGTGGGGAATAGAGTAAGCATCTTTAACCCTTTCACAGCTTTTTCTTCTCATAGTGGTGCCTCAGTGTGCGGGCGGTCTCGTGAGCCGGCCTGAGCCCGCGTGTGCGTCCCGGTGGCTTTGTGTATTCTTGTGTGTTGGTGATGACCATTTAATTGTCATGTGATTGGTTGTTTTCAGTGTTGTGTGATTGATCGATGGAACCCCCTCCTCCTTATCTTCCTCCTCCTCCTTCCACTTCTCGTTGTTCCCACATTACTGCGATCCTACTTCTCCATCCTTCTTCTTCTTCTTATGCCGTTTCTTCCTCTGACTCTTAGTCGTTATGTGGTTGCTCCTGTGATCCTCTCCTTTCTGGGGCATGTGGGGCATTTAGATGGTAAACAGTCCAAGTTCCAGATGTGTCCAGTTAGTGACCTGGCTTGTCAGTCAGTGGTAGGCTGTGTGGTGACTGGGACCCCCAAAAAGATTATCAACTGCTTATACCGCAGCCCACATATACACTTCAATTGAACCTGTACACTGATGGATACCCAGGGTCTAGTCTTCTGCACAACCTTAACAAACAGACCACTGAATATCACTATGCCAACTGACACCAGATACATGTGAACAATCCTAGGGTCTCCTTTTCATAATCTTCATGTCACACAGTAAAGAGGGCTGGAAAGCATGCAAAAGTACATTTTCAGATCAACTGTAACAGTATTCTTATTGGTTATGTTTTCTGTTCCATGTCATTGTGTAGTTACATGTCTATGATACAGTGAAGCGAGAGCAGAAACTCATGTCTTTTTCCCCCCATAATCCTTTACAGGTCCTAGTGCCACCAATCTAATAATAGGCTCCATCGCCGGAGCCATCCTTGTGGCTGCCATAGTGCTGGGGGGGACTGGATGGGGCTTTAAGTAAGCAACACGCCGCATGCCTCTCCTGCTACGTTACTCTTAGCATCCCTGCTGCTTCTTGACACCAGGGTTTGAGCTTCTGCTACTGAATGAGGGCGACCAGCATGTACAAAACACACAAAATATATATATATATTTTTTTTCGATCAAACAATAGTGGGATGTGGAATGCTCATCTTTGTCCAGCATGAAGTCCTGGTTCTTGGTTGTTTGCCTAAGATGGACGTGGTTGTATGTTAGAGCATATATCTGCAGAAGGTACTTTGGAGCCGCTCCATAGGTAGTCTGCGCATCTGTAGCAGAACCTCAAACTAACTGGACAGACAGAGCTACATGCTTGATGCACGTGTTCAGTGAAGGACCTCTTATAGGGATCCTTGTGGAAATAATAATAATAACAACAACAACAAGATTAACCTAATTTGATGGTTAGTAGCTTCTATATTCATGTAGTAGTAACTATTACTCACCATTTTAAATTACATTTTACTAACATGTCTCTTAGTATGGGTAGGACACAGTTCGTATTGCAGTGGTTCTCAAATGATCTTTTGACCCAGGGGTCACAACAGGAACTTAATGTATGCTGTAAATATGGTGTAAGTATTTTCCCCGCAGATCTAGTTGCACTATTTATTTTCCCTCACATGAACGATGGACATGATTCATGTGTTAGAATAATGAGAGACAAAAACCTAATCCCGTATAGACCACGTTTGCCATCAGGAGGCTGAATATCAACTACTGCATTTACTGTGAGAATATTCTTTTACAACAGGCCGTTTCCTCGGAGACTAAACCAAATAAATCCCAGTAACAATCAACGGAAAAAGATACAAAATTAAGGGAGAAAACAGGGTTGACGAATTTGTCTCAAGACTCATTTAAAACAAATGCAACTTTTTTTTGTATATTTTGTACGTATTTTTATTTATGTTATGACATGTAAAACAGTCCTGTGATCCACTTTTGGGCCACAACCCACCATTTGAGAAACACTGCTCTATAGCACAGGAGAATATAGTGTTAAGTTCCTCGTTACCACTAATTAGCCTGATGTCTTGAGCAACAGGGGTGTTTGAAGTCCATAAAAGGAAGAGTCAATATAGAACAATCCTGCGGCCACTGAAGCATGCCAGTTAGCAATGCATCGTGATTATTTGCACCAAAAAAAGAGAATAAAAAAAAAAAAAGCAAATGATGGAATTCTGCATGGAGACTTGTTGATCTGGAGGTCAGTACATTGCACAAAGGCTGAGCCAAACCCACAGTCATTAGGTCCAGGGTTGGGTCCAAGCTCTTCACACTTTGATGATCTATTTCCATTCCGTCCATGACTGTTGGAAGAGTTAGAGTAAAAAAAAAGGAGGGATGAGGAGTTCAGGGTCACAGAGGAACCAGAACCTGTTATTGTTGGTGACAGCCTTTGTGTCATGGCTGCTCACACCCAACCGGAACGTCCAGGCTCCGCCGTAGAGCAGAAAAGGACTCACGGACCTGCCACACCAACTGCTGCCTGCTTCACAGATCTGGTAGAGACACAGCACAGTGCATTGCATGAACCACACACAGCAATAGTGCCAACTTCAGCTGGTCTACTATTGAAACAGGTGCATGACAGGGTGATAGAGGCCCCACTAGAAGCCACAGTACGGGGAGGTTAAACGTCACTCCTGTTGTCGTGTTCGTTGTTGTTGTTGTTGTGGCCCTTGCTCCTGTGGTTGTTGTTCGTGTGCTTGTCTCTCCCCCTCCTCTCCTGTATAGAGTGTATTCTATGTTAACTCCTTCCTCTAAAATGTCCCCAACGTCCTTTTTCATCAGAGGTGGACGTCATGTCAAAGTATATTCTACTTCATTTTGACATTGTAAAATGATCAAACAACCAAGACAACCAAGGTCGTTTATGTTCACAAACTCTATTACTCCTTATGTAGTCATTGTTGCTGTGATTGACATCATTGTCACTTTGTCTACTGCTTGATGCCACCTGTTTCATCAAGCAGTACTTAGGTTAACTGAATTTTTATTTTATTTTAGAAGATCCCACATGTTTGACTCCAAATGCCCTGAAACAGAAAAAAGATTTTTTACGAATGTTTTTTATATGTGAACATAAAAGCCTTGGACACTCGGTGTTTTCCTGGTCAAACTGGCCGACAGTGATCAGCCTTTAACATTTTAATGTCTCTTAGAAGATGTCCAAAAAGGCCGTAGTTTACAATGTGGTATATTTATTCAAATGTAGTTGAATATAAATGTACAGACATAAAGACTATATTTATTCAAATGTAGTTGAATATAGATGTACAGACATTGTAAAAACAGAACAACGGATCAATCACTTTACAGAAAATACACAGCAGTTTAATCCCTACATTTCCTCGCTCATCCAGGTTGTTCCAGTTGCATTCTCTGTTGTGACGCCACTGATTTTGTGTCTCTTCTCTCTGCATAAGAAATGTGAAGAAACGGCGCTACGACCCCAACGCCACAGCCATTTAACCCAGGGAGAGACGGCAATCACTGATGGACCCTCCAAGGCTTCCTTAGTTGGCTACCTGACAGCTGGACTGCACTTATTGCTGCTGATATTTTGGCATTAGATTTACTTGAAAAAAAAACAACAAAACAAACAAAAACATAAATAGTGGCCATTTTATCAAATTTCATTGTAGTGATAAATTGCAGCCTACTTCAACTTCATCTCACTCATATATAGCCCCCCCACCACACCACACCACACCCGACCCTCCCTGATCTTCAAAGTGACACAGCTCCCTCTCTCATTCTTTAGTGCCAGTGCACAGGCGTTCCCAGATGGAATTCACACCACTCTCTCACCTGGCATGATTATGCAACGAGGGGGTCGTGCCGCCCCCCCCCCCCCCCCCCACGTCCTATTCCGTCCCTCTGGCATGAGGAGTCCTCCTTACAGGGCTCTGCATGGCTATAATAGCTATGAATATACTGCAAAAACAAATGAAAAAAACAAAACAAAACAAAAAAAAAACAAATACACAAAAGGGAAAAAAACGAATTTTCTCTCTGAGGAGATAGCCTCGATAAAAAAACCAAACCCAGTGGAAAACAGGTTAAACATCCTTGAGTTCACTTTTAGGTGCTGCATGTTGGGTTCTGTCATGTCAGTGCAGGCCATATAGTGAATGCACACTCAAAACTGTACATATTTACAGATTCTGGTAGGGAATTATCAGCACATTTTACAAAGGACTTCTGTTGCCTTTGATTTTGTCTTAGCATGTTGTATAGCTGGTGTTTCTGGCAAAGAAAACTGCTACCACCAATTGGCCACACATTTGAAAAACTCTACAGTCGATTCACACTGCAGCGCCTGCTGGGGTTGCCCAGGTGGAGGCCAAAGGTTAGAGTGGCTTCAGCTGACCAAGCAGCTGTCGGGGTGAAGACAAGCCTGGCATTTCCTGAGGGGATTTCCTCCAGATTTGCCCCCCCCCCCTTCCCCGTGAAGCATCTCCAGCAGTGACTCAGAAGCCAAAGAACCAATCACCTGAACATATGGATGTTGTTGCACACAGAGCACTTTCTCCTCTGTCTGCAGCCAGCGGTGCCTCACCTAGTGCTGAGGGCACCAAGTCTGTCCGTGTGCTCACCTGTCCAGCCTGGTCCTAACTCAACAGTCCTCATCCACAACCATGATGCCGGCTTTAGCCTTTCGCTCTCAAAAACTCTTACTAGAAAAGTCCAGATCAGCTCTCCTGGTTACGCTGCATGCAATCACTATAGTGGGCTTATAATTCTATATGGGAGTCCCCCGAAATCAGCAACAGAAATATGCTACAAAAGATAGGTGCATGTCAACTACAAAAAACATTTAACTTTTATTTACTATGCAAAGAGAGATATTGCACAAAAAGTATGGGTAATAACGATATCAGTGGAGACATGGAATTACAGGATAAAAGAAAAAAAAATCTGCTAATCTTTTGTATCCGGCCACTCCCTCATCCTGTTTCATTTCGCTTCAACTTTCTCAAACTCAAGCAGATGGACAGGTAATGTAAAAAGACGACCGGACTGATGTTTCTGATCAAAAGTAGAGAGAGCTCCCTTTCACGTCTGTGAAAACCATTTTTGTGTCTTTGTCATTAGACATTGTTACTCACACACACACAAACACACACACTGTATAGTGCCTGTACATACTGAGGCCTGACAGTTTCTTCTTGCAGGGCTTTCACATCCAGTCCAGCTGATAGTTGGTGTGTTCCAGGTGCTGCCATAGCACTGGCATCGTTGTAACCCTCCATGTAACTCCTTCATCATCATCATCATCATCGCCCGGTGTCCCTCTCTCTGAGTGCATCATGTACAGTTGAACCGAGAAATAAACTACTGACAAATTTTATCTGTGCTTCGCTGTATGACTTTGTCATGTCCTCTGTGGACATCTGTGGACCGAAAAGTGGAAATTACTGCACAACTCATTTGACTAAGTACGCTAAGTATGCTGTCATTGCTAAACAATGTTAAAACATGTCTCTTAAGCTGCGGTGTTCAAAGTTTATTTCCACATTAGCCAAAGAAGGAATAAAAAAACAAATATTATAGCATTAGCTAAATGCTACATTAGCAAAGTATTACAGAAAATAGTCAAAAACAGACAGGAAATTAGACAGGAAACAATTATAGATAATGTTGCAAATTAATCACTGAAGTTAGAAATAAATTTAAGCAAAAAACATGTTTTTAAAAATCGTATTTCCTAATTTATTTAGCTTGCTTCTTAGCAAACTTAGCTTTTACCTCAGACAAAATGAAGCCACGTTGGTTAGCATGTGGTGGAAATAAATGTTCCTGTCAATTATTACCTTGGCAGACAATGGTGACATGATTTCCCATTACTTGCCTTGAATAATAATACGTTTTGCCCTGCTGCATCATTTCCTCAGTCAGAGACATGTAAACATTACATTTTATGTGTCAGTCTAAAAACTCCATTCTTCTGCAGCTTAAAGTGTGAATAAGTGGGTGAGGGAGTCACTCTGTACATTAAGTGTGGGCCTCCCACTGGGAAGGTAATTGCATTCCAGATCAGTGTTGTGTGTGACATTTCAGTAAAAGCATAGATGTTCTACCTCTCTGGAACATCATTCATCACTCACACTCTTTTCTTTTTTTCAGAATGACTCAAAGTTCCAGGGTCCTTCTGCATAAACACCTTAGTCTTTCTGAATGGCTGAAAGACCCTTCCAGAAATACCTTGACCTATTTACTATACGTAACACAATGGCAAGTGCCTTTTCTTGTCTTTACTCAAGCCATGTTACTGTTGATCTCTTGGTCACACTAGAGACATCTAGCGGTAACGTTAATTAAGGTGGCTAACTATCACTTAACACCCCGTTCTTGCTATGCTATGTAAGAGCAATGTGTGATATGTGTGATAAATATATATATATAAAGGAAAAAAATTTAAACAATTGTTTAATTTTTTTTTGTGTGTATTTTTTTGTATTAACTAAGACTTCTGTTCCGCATTTCGGTGATGTTAAACTGCTTTTTACAGTATATGACTTAAATGCAGAAAAGTCTTAATTGTTGAATTCAAAACCTGGGTTGCTTAGATCCAAACATAAACAAAGATATTTGTTGTGCTCAGAATAAATGTCCTACTATACTCTCAAATATCATGGGAGCAACAATTAGACCTCAGGATATTTGAACGTTATCACAATAGAAAGCTTTGCTCAGTGGGCTCCATCATGAATATCATTATAAAATCATCAGAGCTCACCTGTGTTAATTTGAAAACAATGCATCCAAAGAGACAGAAATGACTCAGAGAATCACAGCATTCTTCATCTGTCAATCAAGGCACCAGTTGCTAAAAGCCATGCATTTAGTCTGAGCTGAGAGGAGGGAGGAACTGATGTTCCATTAGAACCTGAGACACACAGACTGTCACGTATTTACCAAACCTAAACCAACAGCAGTCTTGGTCCTATGACAGCATATGTGGTAAGTATATGTGTTTTTTTCCATTTGATGATCAGTGTAGCTACATTCATATGTATATTTATATTTTTTATGTGTTTTCATTTTTTGAACATAATTAGCATTACCTTTGAGCTGTATTGTTTTCTAGTTTTGTGATATTTAAAGTTCATTGAAAGCCTTTTAGTAACAACACACAGAGGCATTTGTTTTATCAAACGGTTATCGTCCGTTCAGTTGTTTTGAATTATTTTTCAAATATAAATACAGTACAGTTTGTGTAATTTTACCATACTTTCATTCATTGCAGTATATTCATATTTTAGTTTGTGTGTCAACACCTATTTTCTCATGTTTAATATTTTTATTTTACATAGTTTGTATTTTATTGCTAAGACATATCCTGCTGTTTTGTGTTAAGCTTACAATCAATATAATGTTCATATGTCTAGTTTGTGCCATTTAATTATGTTTGATTTTATATTATTTAAACAATTATTCTTATTTGAGGCACATTTCTAAAATATGGAACAGTGTAACTCACCTAGTTTCCTTTTGGGTTCAATAAAGGAGTTTGATTTATTTCAAATCTTTACATATATTTGACTTTGTATATATTATCCAATAACTATTTATTCATCATTTTGAGATCATATTTGCTATTTTCTGCTAAATGTTATATTTTCAGAATGTAATTAATCAGGCTAACCTAACCTATTAATGCAGTTTGTTTTATGTATGTACAGTATTAAAAATGCATATAGTTATGGACAATGACAGCAATTCTGAATCTGATTTTCTTTCTTATCTTGTTATAGTTTAATTTTTCAACATTATTTTTATCGGTGTTTTTATCGTCAAGGAGCAATGCAAAAAAAAAAAAAAAAAAATCACATTATAGTTAAACAATTAAACTTGTTTGCTTCATTTTTCCTGTTCTGGAAAACGTGACTTTTTGTCCTACTCAGATGCTCCTCGTGTCCTTGAACGCACCTGTGACCACAGTCTTTGTGCTGAGCTGCATGTGGGTCGTGTCGCTCCAGGGCCATAAGCCAGGTCAGGCTCAGGTGGATCCATTGACGGCCTATAGGGCCAACCCACAGTGCTGGGACTCTTCTTCGGTGGTGCTCCTGGAGATGCGTTCCCCCAGGATCGCAGACACAGTACAGGCTTTCTGGGACCTGATGGTGTTCCTCAGAGCGTCAGACAACAGAAAACACACGGCTCTGTTCTGGGACCTGGCCCGGGTTTTCTGGGACATATATGCTGACTGTGTTGTGTCCAGGAGTCACGGACTAGGGCGGAGACACGTCACCGCCGTGCATTCGCTCATTACCGACAGTAAGTGATGAAAACACGACATCCGATGCAGATAAGAAATAGACTTTTTAAAAAACAACAAATATTAGTAATACCTATGATGGTACACAGCTTTTTTTAAGCAGTGTTTCTCGAATGATTGATTTGAGAACCTTCTGGAGGCCAATCCCTGCAGTTAATATGGTTTCACAGAATCACATTAAAACATACTTCTACCTGTGTGTTTAAATGTGAGGATAGTGTTCAATGTGTTTTATTCCTCTCCATTTCCATCTGTCTACTCACCTTGCTTCCATTGTGTATCACTTTATGTTTCTGTCCTGTCCATTTCTGCTGTTGTTTTCCATTTTACTTACAGGCTTTTCGGTTATTTACTAGTCACAGAAGAGGCTCTGGAAATGAACATTCAAGCTAAAGCTCTTTAGTTCTGGCCTTTATTAATATTTTTGAACTTCAGGATATATTATATTCATAACAGTAGTCCTTGACCTGTACAACAGTGTGATAACTGTGTATATCCCTTCTCTGCCTTGTAAGCATAAAACAAATGTTGTGTCCCAGAATCCTTCAGGTTCAACAGCTCAGGTATCAGCTCCAGGTCGTGGTTCAGTGTCAGAGTGAGACACAAAGGACACATCAAGACCCTGAAGACCAGGCCCAAATACCACTAATACTCTCACCATTATATGTGGTCTTCAACACCACTTTTCTGGTACATCTCTATGTTTGATCCTGGTTGGAAATGTTTTTATGACATTGTTATTGTGTTACTGCCATATTTATTCTTCTTGAAGAACCAAAGCTTTGATTTACACACACATGGTTTTAATTTTCTGAAGACGAATTATATAGCCTACTTGTATTTTATGTATTATATATATTTATTGTGATTTTTATGCAAAGATTACAGCTATTATTTTCGGTTTATACTTCTTAAACCTTTTTTTGTTAATGTCAACAGAAATAAAAAATAAATTCTAAATCGTACTTTCAAGTTTTCTTTAGAGCTACTGTATGATTTTATTTATATGTAAATGTCTGTCGTCTCTCAGAAAAAAATTGTAAGTGAGAAAAAGACCAAACAGGGCACAGTTATGGATCTTGAAGTGGAGTAGAAAAAGGTTCTGGGTGTCTCAAAAAGGATTAAACAATATAAAGCGGTGTACCATTTAAAAACTGATTAATTTGAAGTGCCTAGTCATAATTATAAACCACAAGTATTTTGTAACTCACTGCAGGATTAGCCATATTACCCAATTAGCTGTAGCCGAACCCTAGTGCATTTCTTATGAGTTCATACAATTCTCAAAACTTCAGCGTGTTACTTTTATCGTGAAATGTTTAAATTTAAATGAGAGACCACACTCAATGTGCGCAATGAACCATTACCGACGTTTTTGCAAAAAACAGTAAAACATTTACCAGAATACTCGGACTGTCCAGGGGTGTTTATTATTAAATTGATGGTCGCAGTGACCAAGTTTGAACAGAAGATGGCGGTAAACATTTTTAAGCTCCAGTCTCTTGTCACCTGTAGGCGCCTGTGACCCAGAAATTATCTCCGGGTCAAACTTGCTGATTTCCCTGGCGGTCTGCCTTCAATGAAGACTTGCTGATATTTGAAGACTGATTGCATTTTCGCTTTGCAGAAGGAGAAGTTAAATAACAGAGGAGTTACTGTGCAAGTTTTTAAAGCGAGGCACAGAAAAACGTCGCCATGTCTGAGGAGGGACTTCAGTCAGCAGCCGCCCACAACATAAGGTTGTTTTTCTACGTTTTCGTTCGTGTTTTTAAACATACATAATACACTCATTATTGACAATACAACAGGGATTAAATGTTTGAATTAGCAATTCAGTTAAGCTTTTTGCTATTTACAGAGGAGTTCATTGAACAATGTAGGCTGAAGTGATGCTAGTGTTTAGCAGAATGACAGGACGGACTTTTTCGTCTAAATATTTTTAAACTAATACTAATAATAAACAAACTATAACTAACATGTAAGTATATATGCAGGTATGTTAAATATTTAACACTTAAAAACAGTTTGTGCTTATCATTAAATAACCGTTTACGTCACGAAGGTAAAGTGCTCCGAATAATGCATTGATATGATTGTGGACTACGTGTAAAAATAAATTCGTCAACATGACAATGAAAGATCCTTCGCAAAAATTCAAGTACTGACCAGATAAAGTTTACGCCTGTGTCACTGGAAAAAGTTTTAGGGCTCTTTTTCCAACACTACACGTCGGAAAATACGTCGTTTTTCATTTGTTTTTATTTATTTACTTGGGCGAAGTCACATTTTCTGGCACCAGATTAGCATTTAAAGTTTAGTATTTAAAGCTACTTTCAGATTTGACCTACTATATATATATGTGTGTGTGTATATATATATATATATATGTATATATATATATATATGTATATATATATATATATATACATATATATATATATATACATATATATATATATATACATATATATATATATATATGTATATATATATATATATACATATATATAAATATATATGAACCTTTCTTTATTTTTTTTAAGTCTACAAAGTAGATAACCAGTTTTTCTTTGTTTTGGCACATGCAGTGTGGGCGCACCGGAGAAGAACATTCTTGGCAAAACACCCATACAAATACTACATGAATATGGCACCAAAATAGGCGACCCCCCAGTGTATGTGATGGAGAAAGCTGAAGGAGAGTCCCATCAGCCCAGCTTTGTTTTCAGTGTCCGCATCGGAGATGTGAGCTGCACAGGTACAGTTGGAGACTTGCTGCTGTTGGGGTGCTTCTGGGTTAAGGTTAGGGTTTACCAGTGAAGAATTAATCTGGTTTTAAGAACTGGTGCAAATCAAGTTGTGGGACAGTGCTGATAATTGTGTGTAATTGTATGTAGACTTTTTAAGATAAACCTGTTTTAAACACTATATGTTTTATATTTAAATTATATTTTAGGTCAAGGTTCTAGTAAAAAGGCAGCGAAACACCAGGCTGCGGAAGCTGCTCTAAACATCCTGCAAAAAGACATAGGAACACTGTGAGTTATTCCTGAAGATATGTACACATTATAAACTGTGTCCATAGCTGTGGTGAAAATAATGACAGAGTAATAATAAAAGTAAAATCAACTGAAGTTGAATTTGAACACTTTTCTTCATTTGCATTAGATTCCCTGCTGCCGTAACAACTGCTCTTTTTTTTGACAGAAAGATTCCTGTAAAGTCTGAAAATAATGGCATGGAAGCAGAAACCAACAATCATCCAAACTCTGTGGGACTGCTGCAGGTCAGTTTGTGTGTCTTTGAGAGGCTGTGTGTTTTAATGGTATTGCAATTATTTATGTCTGTGATTAAACCTACATTTGAGACATGAAGTTGATGATTAATATTTGTGCCTGTGCTTAAATTTTTAGTCCAACATATTTAGTTAAAACACTTGTCAGAAAACACAAACCTCTCCTCATTCCTCGTCTACTGCCTATCAATAACTAATCCAACATTTAAAGATGAACTTTCTCCGCTTCTTGGTCTGCAGGAGCTGGCCCTGCAGAGAGGATGGAGACTTCCAGAATACACCGTTCTGTCAGAGTCTGGTCCACCACATAAGAGAGAGTTCACTGTGACATGTCGTTTAGAGTCCCTGACAGAGAAGGGTGAGGATGTTATTGTGATATTAAAATAAAATGATTTCTGTAGATTGTTTTTTTTTATTGGCTGTCCCTTATCTCCTCCTGTTCTATGTCGTTCCAGCTATAGGAAGTACAAAGAAGAGAGCAAAGAAGATGGCTGCAGAGAAAATGATAGCAACTCTACAGAGTCTGTCTGGATGCTCAGAGATCACATGGGTTAGGACAGTATTTCAATTTCTACCACATAGACAAAGCCTTATTGGAAACCAGAAAAATATCTTTAAAATCCCAACCGATCTTAATTCAAGTTTAAAAAAAAATCTTGACAGTGAGCTGTGATTTTTCATATCTCATTCTATTTCTATTCTATATCTCTAACGAGTTGATTGCCTTAACGTCAGATAGAAAATAATACCGAGTTTTATGGCCAAACAAAAAACTTCTTTACTCTTACTGTTAGCTTTAATTAGCTTAAGTTAGCTAGGATACCTCATTAAGAAACAAATTATATATTTTTAAATATATAATAATAATTTTAATAATAACAATCTGTCTTGTTGTTTGTGTTTATCTCTAATATCCCAGATGCCTAAACCCAGTGTGCGTTTTGAGAACATAAAGAACTCGTCAGCGGAGAAGATATGTTTACTGAGAAGGAACCCTCTGAGTATTCCAAACACTGACTACATACAGATGATGTTGGATCTGTCCAAGGAGCAGGGCTTCGAGGTCACGTACTTTGACATTGGTGAGTGGGTCCAAACTTGTCGACTGACACCAATGACACAGTTTGTGTAAGATATGTAAGATTAAGAAACAATTATGTGAAGGTTTGAGCAGGAGGTCCAGAGGCCTCTCCAGTCATCAGGTTACTGTGGCCTTGGTGTCACTCACTGTCACCAACAGCGTTTTACTGTCTTTTACCTTGTGTGTGTGTTTTTAAAAGCTATAAAACTAGCAATTAAAAATAAACAAAAGAATTCTAAGTATGTATCAGGGAATATGTCAGATCCTTTTTCTTTCAGCCACCAGCAGAGGGCATCTGTGCATAACGTTGTTAAGCGTTAATGTTCCAATTTTAGGCTCTGCTTTTGCACAAAAAATAACTATCACAGAAAGAACAAAATGCTTGAATTATAATGAAGTATAAGTTAGTGTAAAGTGTTAACCAACCTGAGCAAATTGTTTACTTTAGTCCCCAGTTTTTATTTCCTTATTTCAGTCGTTCTCTAACTGTTATACATGTACCACATAAGGTTTTGGGGCTCTCTCTGGTGGTACACAAGGGATAGTGATTTTCTTTGTTAAACTTGTAGGGTTTTGAATTAGCCTATCCTCTACCGGGGGTTGTGACTTGAGTCTGTGGGCTGCAGACCCCAAGTTGAGACACAGCCACAACGTACCATCCATTTATTGTCATAGTCTCCTCCCTATGTTAAAGTATGTGTGTGTTTGTCCTCGTCAGATGAGCTGACCGTAAACGGTCAGTACCAGTGTCTGGCAGAACTGTCCACCTCCCCGGTCACTGTGTGTCATGGCACGGGCATTTCCTGCAGCAACGCTCACAACGACGCAGCCCACAGCGCCCTGCAGTACATCAAGATCCTGGCCTCCATCAAGTAAAACACCATCACTATCACCACATCCAATAGACACAACACTGACTCCATCATATGTCCCTGTTGTCCAGTCGCATGACCCGTACATCCTGTCACATCCATACAGAAGGTATCATTAAAACAGAGACACAGCACTGACCCCTCCCCCAGCCTTTGACTTGTCATACAATGACAGCAACACATTCAGACAGCTCATCAAATTCAAACATTACATTATTATTATTATTATTATTATTATTATTATTATTATTATTATTATTATTATTATTTCTGGTGTGATCATTTTACTGCTTGTTCTGAGGTTCCACTTTGCACCTTCAAAGACTATACAGATGAGGTGAGTGAGGAAGAGTTCTTAGATCTGGTCTGACCAAGTGTTTTAATTGAGTTGTAAATACTATCTATAATAATGTTACACTTAAAGTGGCAAAAACAAACCGTTGTCTTGCTTACACTTATATTAACTGACAATCGTGACTTGTTTTTAAAAGTTTTCTTTTTACCCATTGTTTTATATAACTTCAATTATTTTTCACTCAGTTTTTAAAATGTCATAAATCTTAGCCCAGCTGGCTTGGTTAATATCACATCCATGTGTCTCATCAATGAGGTTCTAAAGAGATTTACTTGCTGACAAACAAGCAATAAAATCAAACAAGGTGAGTCCTTGCACCTGATTGGATAAAATAAAGAGTTCTAGTTACCCCTAGACTTCTGTGGATGTAAATAATTTTATTGAGTGAAGTAGGTCAATAAAAGGTTAGGTTGGTCTTATATTTTGTAAATAGTTTAACTCATTATACTGAATTAGAATACCTTTTCTGCACCTTTCTCTGTATGTAGTAAAAATGGCAGGAAGCATAAATGGTCAAATTTGTGAGATTTGAAAATTTGAATGGCCTCTGAAAGGCTTTTAGTCGTTATCTCACTGTCTATGTTTTTCATGGGAAAATCTTATTTCCCTCATCTTATATCTTAAGTCCTATTTTTGTCTTATTTCTGAAGAAGGACGTGTCGTTTTCACACAGTTGGTCGGCAGCCTGAAGAAAGAGGCTCAATTCAGAATGTCTACCGTGCTGTGATTGCTCAGCCTCTGTGGTCGAGGTTTGTTATTGGTCACTAGTGTATTACTTACTCATTCAAAATCAGATCCAAACCGGCTATAAAATGACTTGTGTCCATAGAATTGTACATAAGAATTTAGTTTTGGAAGTGAAGTTGGTGAAGTAAACAGGAAGTAGCTCCACTGGTAGAGATGACCTTTACAGACGTAAGGTCAGCCCCTCGCCCTTCTGGTCTGGTCTCCTCTTGCTTTTCCACCCGTATCAGCAGCAACCGTCTGGTTTCACTTCACGTCTTTTAACATTTTTTATTCCAACTCTCAGAACAGGACTTCCATTTGTTTTTGTCATTTGGCTTCATTTATTTCTTTTTTCATTTGTGGTTTATATGTGTGTGATATTAACCTGAAATGAAGCTTTAAAACTTCAAACTTTGTGCACGGTGAATAATTAACTAATTATTTTGTTCAGTTTACGCACCTTATAATTGATCAACTTGTTTAATTTAATAATATTTTTGATCTCTTTAGCAGGAGAAATTGTACAAAATAATTAGTTACTATTACAGATATGGGACCTTTTTTTGTTTTTCTGTATTTTTTTTATCTTAATTTATTGCATTTTGTTTGTTTTGAATCAGGCTGAAGCACCTTTGAGATTTTACACTTTAAAATTGGAAACTTATTTTCTTTTGCTGATATTTGTCACAACAATGTCATAAAATAAAGTCTCCATGTGGACATAATCTCACATGTCTCTGACATAAACAACAGATTCCTCTGTTTGATTTACACTTTTATTAGAACAAGCACTATGTAGCAGCAGTGTACAGTGTTCATGGAAAGATATGTACTTTGTTTAAATTGCACTTTAGAAGTTTGGAGGAAAAAAAAACAGATTTTTGAAGAATACTGAGCAGCGTGATGCACGTCAGTCCCAAACATGACAGTCCAATGGGGAGGAAAAGGTGTTGTTTTTTTGTTTTTTTGTTTGTTTGTTTTTTTTTTACCAAAGAAGGCATCTGCAACATTCAATGACAGACTGTGCTATTTTCTAGGCATGCAAGAAACTGACAAAAAGTTGTTTTTTTTTTTTATCCCTCTACCAAATTCAGACACTAAGATCCTAAGGATTTTGCAAAAAGCATTACTTCTGCTTCCATTGACACCTGCTGAGATTTGACTAAAGAAAATAATCTAATTGCTGAGATGGAAGTGTCTTGCTTCTACAATAGTGTCATGTGCTGTATTTACAGTGATGGAGAAACGTTTCTACTCATTACATGGAGTGGTGGAGCGGTGCCTGTTGTTTCTGAGCACTGAAAGCATGGTACAGTTTACCCCCCCGCCCCCTTTCCTTAATTCCATCAGTGACAGGTCCCTCGTGGTCGGACTCTTACATATCACCTTCTTCACGTGTAGATTCTCTGCAGTCGTTTTTTGGTGAGGCATTGAAAAGATGCGTTAAGGCACAGCGAGTGGATTTGGTGCTGATGTAGCACAGAGTCTGGGATGTGGGATGAAAGTAAAAGCAGGAAAAGATGAAAATACATGACTGCAAAGCATCATCTACAACAGTGGTTCCCAAGTTTGCAAGTCTGCAGCGCCCCCCTTGGGTATACTGAACTATGGTCAAAGCCCTCTGATCAGCATGTTAACACATTTACAGATATTGCTTAAGAACCCTACTGAACTATATTTAAAACATATTCCTATGAACAATTCAATATCAAAATTAAAATTGCTGCCCTCAACCTCCGTGCCCCCAGGGGGAGCCTTGCCCTCCACTTTGGGAACCACTGATCTACAGTAACGTGAATAGTACACACAAAATGGTACTTTCTAGAGTTGCATCCTAAAATTTTTTGCAGTACTGAAGGAAAAAAAATCCTGGGCCAGCTCCAAAAAACGTATACGGATAGAGTTTCTGACCGAAGCAGTAAATGCAAGCGCTCACACTGTCCTAATATCAAGGAACCCAAAAAAGCGTGTGGAATAGATCGACATCCTATTAATGACGTCATTGTTCTGCTGTTAGCCTAGGACTTTAGCACACTGCTTCAATCAGAATCTTCCCCAACATCGACATTCTGTCACCAACAGACAATGTACGGCTGCAGCTGTGCTAATCATGAATCCAAACAACTGTGTTGTTTCTTTCCTCAACGTAATAAAAAGTAGAAACAAAGTAATTAAAGCTCTGATTCGTCATTATTATACAAATGTCAAACCCACATCGACGTAGCCGTTAAATCTCAAC